CGCGAGATATTCCTTCTCCTTTCCCTGGCCGTCTTGGAGACCAGGCGAGTCCCACACCACAACCACCACACTCTCCGCCGTCGTTATTTCTTGGTCCGTCGACACCATGCTTGATGATGGGCTACCAGTCTCAGTTCCGACGATAACGCCAAAAAGCGTAGGCTTCGCTGCCCCTGGTGTCCCCGTCATCATTACACCTATCTCCCCCTCCCATGGTGGTTCATTTCCCGGCGTGTCCTTACTCTCTCCAGCTAGGACTTCATTTACCTCCATGACCATACCCACTTCGAATGGTGGTTCATTTTCCTCTTCTCGTTGGTGTTCGTGCGCTTCCGCTTCTCCGGGCGGGGCCTCGTGGCCTTCCGTGTTTCCTTTGCGTAGTAGGTCATGGCTTGCCTTACACTTTTTGCGTGGCAGTTCGTAGCCTTGCAGGTTTTAAACGGTGTCCAACGGTTCTGATGCGGTAATACTCAGCTTCGTCTGTGTCGACGGAGTGACGCAGATGTCAGGATAACACGCCGGGTGACACTGAGCCAATTCTCTCGACCAGGGAGGCGCGGCTCTTGGATGTCCGGCTGGCTCTACTGGTATTTTGTAAGCTACTTCTTCTGGCACACCGGTTTCGATCAATGTGGCATGAATTCGCTTTTTCCAATCTTGCAGTCTATCGTTGAACTCTTCTCGACATCTGGTTTTGCTGTTTCCAGTACGTTGCACGTGTCATGACGAAATATGGAGCGCTTCCACCACTTAGAGCCAAAAGTCGATGTTAGCTTTTTATCGCGGAAAGCGCTTTCTCTTGCAGCACTGGGGGTGGTAGCTGAGATGTCGAGGCAATATTATGACGGTGCTACATTGCTGCACTTTCCTAGTTCTGGCGAGATATGGCTTCCTCTTTCACGAGCCGTCCCGGAGACCTGTCGACCCTCCACCCACAACCTCCATCTCTCCATTTCGCTTCGATTTGTAACCATTATTCCCGGACCCGACGCGTAATAATTGGCGCCTGTCTTAGATACAATTACCTACGGAGCTTCAAACAAGCATAGATTTTCCTGTTCTATGTGTCCCGTGATGAGGATATATCCGGATCCTTGTTGTAGCTAACCTTGAATTGAGTTGCTTCTGAACTAGCGGCCTCCGAGTAGTGGGCGCAAGTACTCACCGGAGATCAGGAGTGTTGATGTTTATATCCGCCCCTCCATAGGCATACCAGCGCGCTTCTCTTTTTGGGCGTGTACTCAAAAAGTTGGGGCGCGCGGCGGATGAGGATGGTCGGTTACTACACTAGAGGTCGGACAATTGGGGAGAGTAACAAGGCCAGACAACCATGGGTGCTAAGAACAGCAGCAGTCCAGGTCTAATAACGGGCGTTGGCAACAGGACGCTACACCTCGGCCGTCACCTCGACGAACCTCTGCGCTCATGCACCGCAAGCAGAACAGTGTTTCAGGAGGGAGTTTCGTCAGTCTTACATAGGAAAGTGGACCGACTCTTTGTAAAGTTTAAAAAACGACCTCCAGAGGGAGCTACGATCACATAAAGCAGAAGTGTATGCAGTTTTACATGCTAAATGCATTCCTTATTTACACACCCAATTTTTTTTTTTTTTTTTGCATCATGCACAGCCCAGAATGACAAATATTCACTAGTTTGCGTGGGTACCGTTACCACTAGCTATATAAATTAATACATAGCTCGGTGCATCTATATATGGCTTACAGGCAAACTTTTATCGCACAGTTCGCGCATCCAGAGGATTCCTGTGGTGTATAACTGCAGCCACTACCCTTTTGGTCACGAAATATTGATGCGTCTCAGGAGAAAACATAGGTTGCTACTACAAAAAGGGCGTTTGGAAAGAGTAGAAGTGAGTCCGTACTTCCTTGGCTTTGTAACGGACAGTCAGCGGGAACAGTGGATAAGGTGCCGTTGGCAGGGGTTTGAGTGGACTGATAGTGCGGTGGTGGTGCTGCCGTGGATCGAGGCGCAGCGCCTAGCTACCTATACTTACGTGGTTGACCGGTGGACCGCTATAGGCACCAATGAGCAGCAAGAAGCGGATTGAGATCGTCATAACAGGGACGCCAGGAGTAGGCAAATCTACGCTCGTTGGCGCTCTCGTGGGTAAACCTGCCGCGAAGACTGGCCACCAAATGCTTCGTGCCGAGTCGATGGCTCGGTCGACGGAGCACGAGATGGAGGGCGTAGAGGTTGTGGTGTGGGACTCGCCTGGCCTTCAGAACGGCTCGGAAAACGAAGAATGGTCTCGCCGACCTGAAGGGAAAGTGGCAGCAATGTCAGCACCGTCGTCTATTGCCATCGACATCTCAGCTACTCGCTCCAGTGGGATTAACAGCTGCAGAAATCGCACAAAACGACCAATCCACAATACAAAAGCTGACTACGACTTTTGGCTCTAACTGGTGGAAACGCTCCATATTCGTCATGACACGAGCAAACGTACTGGAAACAGCACTAAAAGTTAAACCCAATGTCGAGAAGAGGTTCAACGATAGACTGCAAGATTGGAAAGAGCGAATTCATGCCACATTGATCGAAACCGGTGTGCCAGAAGAAGTAGCTTACAAAATGCCAGTAGAGCCAGCTGGACATAGAACAAGCCACGCCTCCCTGGTCGAGAGAATTGGCTCAGTGCACTCTGGCATGTTATCCTGACATCTGCAACACTCCCGTCGACAGCAGACCATCTACAACACAATTTAAGCCAGGGAGGAAGATCTGGAACTGCAGCTACTGTTAATTTACAAGGCGGTCAAGTTAAAAACTCTTCACTGAGAAGTATTTCAGAGGAATTAATGGACAGAAGCACTTGTTGTAATGTAATGTAGAGTACGATACACAACGTGTCGTTAATTACTATCATAGGAAATGCAAGTATGGGCTATTGGCCATCATTACTTTCCTTGTCAGTGAATGTAAATAACAACTTGGGCACTGCTGTATATATACTGCGTCTGTCAACTCCTGTTGTTTACTAGATTCAGTAAACGTTTCCTGGTGGTGTAATAGTTGAACGTCAAACGCTAAGTTGTAATGATTATGGTGTGCACATATGGAATGTTATTCTGGACAATAATCGTTCATCGCGGATTGACGTATTTCATCGAAATGAACTGTCCGCCCCACAGACGCCAACAAAATTATTTGCTGAGATCTATATAGTTCCTGTTGGTTCAAGTGTCACTGATGTTTTTATTGCGGACGCACGCAGCGTGACGCGACGATCCGCCCACAAAATCGAAGATTATAAAATCACGTACAACTGCTAAAGGTCGTCTCATTCAGTCATTACCGATGAGCTGCCAGGAGATCCTCATAACGGGAACGTCCGGCGTAGGAAAGTCTACCCTCGTAAATGCCCTCGTAGGGAAACGTGCAACGAATACTGACGACCAGTTTATATTACGAGATCGCTTTGAGTACATACAGAGCTACAAAGGAACATCAGAGGACGGCGTAGAGGTTGTGGTGTGGGACTCGCCTGGTCTCGAGGACGGCCAGGGAAAGGACAATGAGTATCTCAACGAACTCAAGATAAAGTGCAGCAATGTCGATGTTATGATCTATTGCGTCGACCTCTCGGCCACTCGTTGCTACGGATTGTCGGCTGCGGAGGTAGCGCCAAACGATCTTTCTGCAGTAAAGAAACTTACTGCGACGTTCGGGTCGAACTGGTGGAAGCACTCCATTTTCGCCATGACGCGTGCGAACGTGCTTGAAACAGCACTGAAAGTTAAACCTGATGTCGAGAAGAGGTTCATTAATAGACTACAGCAATGGAAAGAGCTAATTCATGCCACATTGATCGCAACCGGCGTGCCTCAGGAAGTAGCTTACACGATACCAGTTGAACCGGTCGGACATCCCAAGAAGCCACGTCTACCAGGTCGAGAGAAGTGGCTCGATTCACTCTGGCATATCATCCTGACTTCTGTAACGACGCCATCCACACAAAAGAGTCACAGAACGGCAGCAGTACGTCCCGAATCAACAGATGGAGGGGGTCAAGACGCGCCCGATTCAGTAAAGCCTACCGAACAGCAATACCCACACAAACGGGACCGGGCGTTGTTCAACCCCAAACCAGCATACAAATTGGGTCAAGGAACACTTGATTCCGTACTGTCGAGCAATCGGACGCCAGCTTCAGTAGCGCAGTCCCCCGATTCAACGACCGGCAGGGGGCGAGGTCAGATCCTCGTAACGGGGGTGCCAGGCGTGGGAAAGTCTACCCTCGTAAATGCCCTTGTAGGGAAACGCGCAGCGGTCACTGGCGACCCGTTATTACCCGACAGGCCGAATAAAGTGATTGGCCACCAGTGGTTGGCTGGGGAAGGCTTAACATTCGTGGTATGGGACTCGCCTGGTATTGAAGAAGACTCGGTAAAGGAGTGTCTTGCTCAGTTCAATCAAAAGTGCCCCAATTTGACTATTGTCATCTATTGCATCGACCTCTCAGCCACTCGCTCATACGGATTGACGGCTCCAGAGGTAGCGCCAAATGATCTTTGTGCAATTAAAGAACTGACTGCAACTTTTGGCTCTAACTGGTGGAAGCATTCCATTTTCGTCATGACACGTGCAAACGTATTGGAAACAGCACTCAAAGTCAAACCAGATGTCGAGAGGAGGTTCAACGATAGACTGCAAGATTGGAAAGAGCGAATTCATGCCACATTGATCGAAACAGGCGTGCCACAGGAAATCGCTTACACAATACCAGTAGTGCCAGCTGGACATCGAACAAAGCCGCGCCTCCCTGGTCGTGAAAACTGGCTCTTTGCACTTATGCACGTCATCCTCACATCTCCAACGGTGCCGTCGAGAAAGGTGGAAAATGATCTACCACACCGGAAACATGAGGATCAGGGTTTCATTAAGAAAAGCGATGAGTCAACATGCAAACGTCTGCGAACGCCTGTTTCAGTAACGCTGACCAAACAGCCAAGCTGCCAAGATAATAGAGAAAGAAAATATTTTCCAGAGAGTGTGGCTCGAGCTATGACTACGCGAACAGAGCTTGCGGCCAGCGCAAGAGGTCCTGTCGGTGCTACAATGGAAAGTTCCTCACTCAGAGAACATCGAATAGGTGGGATAGTGGTTTTTCTGAGAAAGGTTGGAAGAGAGAAACTGTTGTAGACTCACTGCAAACCCTCAAAAACAATTTATCTCGTTTTTCGCTTTGTGCTAATTATAACCTTTATAGTAAGCCGATTTTGATCGTCACATTAAAAATATATTTTCTGTAATTGCTGTTAGCTTTCTGTTTAGTCACAGTGCACTTACTAGCTATCACTACCATGCACGCTAATGCTCTTATTATTACACTAACACATGCATTGCAGGTACATGTTTAGTTTCTATTCTCTGAGCATTTTAAAGAAGCCCTGGTCATGATCTTGCACCGACTCTGTACATGACGAGTGCATTTCGAGAGCCAACTTTAATACAACAGAGGCATCTTTCCCTATGCTGGACCCAATGGTTTTCCCCGATCCACTCATCCCTTACTTTTCGCCGATTACACCTCCACGTTGCGAAAATATCAGTGGCTGCTTTTGGATGAAATTCTTCAGGTCTTCATTGCGATCCTCCTCCCTTTTGTCGACGATGCGGCGGTAGTTAAGTTTCACCATTGCGGGTTGAGCGCGGGGCGTAAAGAGTAGCAAACCAAAAAGGGCTCATCCAGTGATCGCGGTCTAGGAGAGCAGGCTTGGTTACGTGCCGTGCTGGAACTACCTGGATACGATCGGCAACTTCTTTTTTCAAGCGTATATCTTCAACCAGAGTATCAACAAGTACCTCTTTCCATAGCTTTATTTTTTCCTTAAAGAGCTCTGCGTTTGTTTCATCATTTGCCTCAGGTATTTTTGAATCAATAATTATCTTGGGCAAATGTCAGCACGAACATCGCATTCTTCCACATTTTCTTGCCAAAAGTATTTGTGAGTTTCTTCATCGCGTTAACATCTGCGCACTCCTTGGTAAAGCGTGTTTGTGTAAAGCTCACGCAGTAGCTAAATGCAGATGTCCATGTCCGATCATTTCTCTTTCATACCTGCCAGATACCGGTCTTCGTTTTTGGTGCCGTCTTGGAGTCCAGGCGAATCCCACACTGTCACACGGATGGAACCGTAAATCCTTTCAAAAGCCCCTACTACGGATGTTTCTGGGTCTAGACCATCCCCTTCTTTAGCCACTTGGTTCCCCACGAGGCCGTTCACTAGTGTGGACTTGCCGACCACACTCTTCCCGGTGATAAAGATTTTGACCTCGTTGCTTTTCTTCAACCATTCCGTCAGCTCTCGGCGAATGCGTTCGTCAGGGAGCTGCGCGAACTTAGCGTTTAATCATTCCACGCTCTCGGTCATCGCTATCATACGGTTTCGCTTGGACGGCTCGGATATAATAAAATGTATCACTCCAACAGTGCAGAAAAATGCGACATTTATTAGTGTCAGTCACATAAAATTACAATACCGTTTCCGGGAAGCTGAGGCAGTCATTCGCGCACAACTGCTGTTGATGCCGATACTGCTACTTATAGGTGCAATAGTAAAACTTGACTACATGCTTAATACAGAAGTAAATCCAAACATTTTAAAATAATATTTTAGTGCAGAGTCGAGCAAAAAGATAAACAAGATATTGTTCCTGAAGAGGGTCTACGAAAATGGGTTGAGCACAACCTTCCTTCTTGAAGTCATCAGGGGTAACGTCTTGCTTTTTCTTAAACCGATGTTGACTCACTCTTGCAAACATTGGCTGGGATGGATCTTTTGCACGTTTTATAAAAGTAAACCAGAGAGCACTGAGCCAACATTCATGTCCACCAGGAAGGTTAGGCTTCTTGGGGTGACCAGCTGGCTTTACTGGTACTTCATTTACGATCTCTTTTGGTACGCCTTCTTTCTCGAGTGCTGCATGAATTCTCTTTTCCCAATCTTCTAACCTCTCTTTGAACTTGTCATCGCAGCCACCCTTCACATTCAGGGATGCTTCCAACGAGTTCGCACGGGTCAAGACAAAGATGGAATGTTCCCACACTTTTGGACCAAAATTCGCTGTCAGTTGTTTAATTGCGCAGAGATCGTTTTGTTGTTCCATTGCAGCACCGCCCAATTGAGCCCGAGCAACTGACGCATCGATGCAATAAATGATAATATCAACGTTGCTGCAGTTTTCTTTCATTTTGGCAAGATAATCGTCCTCCTCTCCCGAGCCGTCCTGGAGGCCAGGCGAGTCCCATACCACAATCTCCATTCCTTCGGTCGACATCACCTTGTGGCCCGTTACGTGTTTCGTTGTTACAAGCAAGTTGCTCCCTGTTTCAGCCGCACGTACCCCCACGAGAGCGTTGACAAGTGTAGACTTCCCCGTTCCTGTTCTTCCCGTCAGCAGAATCTCCATACGTTTCCTGTTCTCGATCCAATCCCTTACTTCTCCCTTTTCATCCATTTTCAGCTTTAGACTTTCCAAGCTAGCTTCGAGATCGATCGACGCTCCCGAATCTCTGAGTTTTCTATCCATTTTCAGCGCCCGGGCCGTGCGTATAGACGGAGGCTGGCGGGCAGGCCTTTATTGAAATAGCTGAGCATCTGCCCATAGCTAATGTCAATCATTTCATGCCGAGACACCGTATACTTTTCCGTAAATTAACACTCACAGCATCTCCATTATTCACATTATTCACCTTACATAATACTATACAACAACTAGGCGCGCTATTACAGTCTTACGCGTTCATGCTAACACATGCTCAGAAGTGTAAGTTTAGATTTGTTTAATCTCTAAGCATGGAGGTGAAACTTTGTGCGCATGTGTATTACATCGTTTCCATGACGACCACAACAACAAATAGCCTCAGGCACTTTCTTTAAAAGTACTTTTTCAATTCTCAAACTCGCTATAGATAGCACAAATGGAGATGAAACTTGGTATACATGCGTACATGCGTATTACATCATTTCCATGACAACAACAGGCATTTTTCTCTATTCTTAATTTTTATAGGGGGCTTGCCCCTTTCACAGAGATATACGTAGTAGTATATAAAAATGAGTGGAGTCAAGGAATTAAAAATTCTGTGAATTTAAAAAAGAGGCATATAGGGATGGTATAAAAAGAAAGGGAGACAAGATAGGGATGGGATACATGAAGCATGGTTAATGAGCAGATTTGAGCACACTGACAGCCTCGACCCCATCACACAATCCCTATATTGTTGCCTAGTTGAAGTATTAAACATTCAACATTACACAATAGTTTAGCTTGAAAATACGAAAAAGTCATGCTACTGAGTAACCAAGAGTACAAATGGAGAGGCACACCAGGCAACAATATAGGGATTGTGTGATGGGGTCGAGGGTGTCAGTGTGCTCTAATCTGTTCATTAACCATGCTTCATGCTATCTTGTCTCCCTTTCTACCATCCGTATATGCCTCTTTTTCGAAATTCGTTACATTTTTAATTTACTTGTATAGATGAGAAATAAAAGTGGTCCTAGAATACTGCCCTGAGGGACCCCGGAGATGACAGGTAAAATTCCTGAAACTGAATGGCCAACTGACACATACTGATGCCCATCAGTTAGGTAGGCTTGGAATCACACAAAGCGACATTGATGATACCAAAACGCCCAGGAGCAGAGTTTAAGCCACGAGTTCGTTTGGGAAAACAGAGTCGAATGCCTTCCGAAGTCTAGGTAAATAACTGAGTTTGCGACAAATTAATGAACTGTGTGTTCCAGAAGATCCAAAAGCTGTTGCAAGGAAGAATGCCCTTTTAGGAATCCAAATTGAATTGTAGATACAGAACCCCTTACAAAGTCAGTTATATTGTTATAGACTGGTCTTTCTAATACTTTGGACACCATACAGAGTAACGAGATAAGCCTGTATGTCTATCTCCAGATTTAAATATTGGTCTTATTAGGTGTGTGCGCCACTCCAACGGGATGTAATGTTGAGATAGGCTCAAAGAGAATAGATGGTGAAGTTGCTGGTAGAATGCAATGGAACATTTCTGATCTTTGCAACCAGAGCTGTTCGATGCTTTTAGAGCATTGTACACGTCCAATTCAGAATTATCAATCTCACTTATAATGTCAGGGGGTATGCACTGGAAGCACTAGAATTTGGAAAGAACTCCTAGTGAAAATGGAGTGAAAGTACTTGTTGAATAAGCAGGCTTTGTGGTAGTCGACACGTGCACATGGAGTACGAGAGGAACGGCTGATGGAGGTGACATGAAGTGTTGCTCAGATCGGGGTGGCACGGATGTTGTAACGATAGATGGCGCTGCGGATATTGTGGGTTTTAAAAGATTCAATTAAGTTGGTTTCATACTGGGCTTTTGCTTGGGCTGCCTTGGCAGTCAGAGAAGTCTCAGATAATTCAATTTGGAGTTTGCGATGAGGAGTTGGATGTGACTTGCACTTCCTTTTCATGGTTCGAAGGCAGTTACAATGATGATCGATGTCTGAGTTGAACCATTTTGGACGTTCTGTGTCATCACAAGTGGATCTGAGGTGACAACGACGATATCGCTACAAAAAACTGATTTAAAGACCGACTCAATGTCATGACGCTGAAAACATATGCTGAGAGATCAAAATCTAAGTATGTAAAGACGAGACAGAGAGTTAAGTAAAGTTAGCCTTGGAGAAGTCAAAGACGTACAAAGGCTTATTCTTGGAGATAAACTCGCAAAAAGTATTAGATGATAAGGAGAAGAACCAGTTAAGGATGACCAATTAATGTCCGGGAAAGTGAAATCGCCTACAATAATACACCTATTAAATGAGGAAACTAGACCAGTAGGAAGCTCTGGTCGTAACCTTTCACCGACTCTGTACATGACGAGTGCATTTCGAGAGCCAACTTTAATACAACAGAGGCATCTTTCCCTATGCTGGAACCAATGGATTTCCACGATCCCCAATCATCCCTTACTTTTCTCCCCGATACAGATCCACGATGTGAAAATATCAGTGGCTGATTTTGGATGAAATTCTGGAAGTCTTCATCACGAATCTCCTCCCTTTTGTTGACGACGCGACAATAGATCAATTTCACCATTGCCGGTTGAGCGTGGGGGTGCATGGCGTAAAGAGTATCAACCCAAAAGGGGCCCAGTTCTATTTTTTCTTTGAAAAGCTGCTCCCTTTCTTCTTCATCATCTGATTCATGTATCTCTCGATGATATCTTCAACAATGTTCGCTAATGTGAGCACAAACATTGCATTTTCTCGCATTTGCTCGCCAAACATCTTCATGAGTTATGGTGATATCATGGCGGGCTTGTGCAAAGCTCACTGAGTCCAGGCGAATTCCCACTCCTGTACACACGGATGGATACCGTGAATCTTTAAGGCGGTGTGTCATTGGTCTAGGACCGCCTTCCTTCTGCCACTTTTTCC